GACTTGCTTCTTTACTTAGTGTAGTGTGTTCAAGGTTCATCCCTTTTGTAGTATGTATCAGTACTTCATTTCATTGCCAAGTATTTCACTGTATGGATATACTGCTTTTTTAAAATCCACTCATTAACAACATTTGGTTGTTTCCATTTTTCAGCTGTTATAAATAATGCTGCTGTGAACATTCATGTGCAGGTTTTTGTGTGAATGTATGTTTTTAATTCTCTTGGGTATATACCTGGGAGTGGAATTGCTGGATTACATCATAATTCCCCATTTAACCTTTTCAGGTACTGCCAAACTGTTTTCCACAGCAGCTGCACAATTTTACATTCAACTAGCAATGTATGAAGGTTCCATATCTTCTCCAATATTTGTTATTTTCCTTTTTTTAAAAAAAATCATAGTCATCTTAGTGGATTTGAAATGATAGCTCATTATGGTTTGGATTTGCATTTCTCTAATGACCAATAATGTAAACATCTTTTCAGGTGATTATTGGCCATTTGTCTATCTTCTTGGAATAAATTTTTATTTGCATCTTTTGCTGATTTTTGATTAGGTTATTTGTACTTTTATTGTTGAGTTGTAAGAGTTCTTTATATATTTTGGATACGAGACCCTTATCAGATATATAAGTACGGTTTAATATTTAGAAATGTGATCTAATCTATATACATTCTGACCTGGCAATAAAGGATTCATGAGGTTTTCAGTGAATAAATAAAAACATTGACTAGAATCACAGCCTTGAAATGGTAGTCATAACATATTGATGTATTCATGTTTTCCAGTGCCTCTGAGATAATTGGGCAGTGTTGTGCTGCTATAAGATAAATTGATTAGCATTTACTAATACAGAATTAGTATTTTATGGAAAACTTGGGGGGCCTTTCATTAAACTCTGGACTTTGGATTCTCATTGAAAAATCAGTATTTTATGAGAGCCAGTGGTCACCCCACCTGATAATTCTTCTTGGAATTTTATAAAGAGCCATATCACTTTGCAACTGATGGACCATAATGTATTGCAGTAAAAAAGTGATTATTTCCTGGAGGCATCCTCTTATAATCCTTGAAGGTAAACATTATGTCATTTATCTTGTAATCTTCTTCTCTCATCATTCAAATTTGTCATTCAAATACCCTATCAGTTCTTGGGTCTCCTCTCCCTGGACCATCAACTCCTAGCCAGGGTGTGCCTCTCTTTAAAATAGTACTGTTTGATTTGCTTTTCTTACAAATCCATGTTCTTGTCTTCTATAAGTTTTTTTTAAAGTATTGAAAGAAGCTGTGAAGGCAAAGAAAACTTTTTTTTAGCTCTTTAAATATGTCTCTAATATGTTTTCTTTCTTTTTTATCTAGGGAAGTAATACCAGTGAGGTACTTGAAAGCCAATTTGAAGAGAAACCTGCCAATATTGTAACATCAGGTTAAGAAATTAATTTACTTCTGTATTTATTATTAAAAATAACTAAAAATTACGAATAACAAAAAAACTAGTAATTTCTTTTTTAGTGGACTTCTTTTTTTGTTGTTGTTGTTGTTTTTGTTTAGGGAATAAAAATACATTTCATTAATTGCACGAGTTTTTGTTCTTGTGTTGCCTCTCAGAGATTCCTGGGGAAGCTGCCTTTTTCCTATTTGCAATAAAGTGTGTTATTTCATTGTTAAAGATGTTAATAGTCTCAATAAAGTGCTAACCTGCCAGTGGTTAAAAAAATACATTTCATTATAGTTTTGGTATATACTGTTTATTTTGTAACACTCCAAAGAAAAGACTTAGATTCAGTTAAGAGTTACTTTCATTTTTTAATACTCCTTTCCTCTTTTAACGGCAAGAAAAAAGTTAAATCGTAAGTGTAATCTGTGAAAAGATATTTTTGGTCAACATTGTTAACTGTAGAACTATTGGTCTCTTTTATGTAGATGGTATGTGTGAGTATGTGTGTTTATGTGTGTATAGGTAAGAGAAAGGAGAGAGGGAAAAGAAATTAAGTTAGCATTAAGTTTGAGAACTTCATACAAATTATCAGTAAGATATTTAATTAATAAAAGATACTCTTCATGCAGTCTTTAAAAAAATCTGTTAGCCACAGCAGTCAGGCAAGAGAAAGAAATAAAAGGGATCCAAATTGGAAAATATGAGGTAAAATTGTCACTATATACAGATGACATGATACTATATATAGAAAACCCTAAAAGTTTCACACAAAAACTACTAGAACTAATAAAAGTATTCAGCAAGGTAACAGGTTACAAGATTAATGTACAAAAATCAGTTGCGTTTTTACACTAATAATAAATCAACAGGAAAAGAAAGTAAAGAAACAGTCCCTTTTAAAATAGTACCC